CTTTAATACACACAAAGCCTTTTGAGGCAGGTACTACTTTTATAAAATAACTGTAATACATAGTTTAAATAACTTATCCAAAGTTACAAAGCTGAACTTGAATGCAGATGTTTGATATCACCACTTGTCGTCAAAGTTAGTATACTATTTTTAGCCTTTTTGGAATATTGATATACTTCAGATTTCTTTCATATTCCTGTATTTGAAACCTGACATTAATAATCCACTTCATGGGTTACTAACAATCTCATTGATCATTGATCTGCTATAAGAGTTCTGAAATAAGAAAATGGCTATTTCAACACAGGTTTTACTGTCTGTAATGTATGTACTTTCTCTGATTTTTTTTTTTAAATTCTCTTTCCACTTCATATAGTTACCTTCCAGGATTAAGGAGCAAATTGGCTAAAAGTGATAATATGTGTCCATGCAGAATATGTCTATATGGCTAGTTAATAATATGTATTTGTCTTGATCCAAGTGGTCAGTTCCAGCAGACAGCTGAATACAGAGGCTCCAGAGAAAAGTGTTGGATGTACAAGTGAATTTTGGATAACACAGTTTGACACATGTAAGTCTTCCAGTAAATATTTGTTAATGAGTTAATAAATGAAATGTGAATTTGGAAGTCTCTACAATACAATTCAGGGCATAGCTTTCCAGTATTTTGGATAGATAGATATTTTAAGCATAATTAGAATCAATTTTATGATATTCTTTGAAAGTCATGTTTATTTCAATTTTATTTTAATGAATTAATGTAATTTTATTGGGGAATATTTAGAAAGTAACTATGACACGCCACTGTGTGATGAAAGACCAAACTACAGCACAGGTTAGTTGACCATGAGAGTTTATAAGGTAGACAAGGGAAGTTTGTCAGACAGGACTCACAAAAGTCCAACACTTCTGCTGTGAAATAAGACACAAAAGGAAACAAATCAAGGATTGAAAGAGCCGACATGTCACATATTGGCTAAAGAAAAAGACGTGACATTATAACATCTTTGCCTTTTTGATAGTTCTCGATAACACATTTATAAGAAAAATTAAACCTGTAAATACAGAGCATAAAGATGAAGCTATAAAGTTTGAATAACACAAAAATATTCACTTCAAATTTTCTGATGTATTTGCTAATGTGTGTGTTACAAACACTTTGTTAATGAAACAGTATATCAGAAACAACTTTCTGTGCCAGTGATATAGATCTCCATCATGTTTAGTGATTTATAGCAATAAGATTTTCCTCATTTCAAATTTTCTGATAGGTACCTAAACATTATGAAAATATGGAGGTGCTTTTTTTTTTGTTTTGTTTTGCTTGTTTATAGTTTTCACATTTTAAAATGCAAAAAGTGCACCATAGTGCATAAATAATATAAATATGTAGAAACCAGTTATTGCTTTTCAAATTCCAAATGAGTGATGGTTACGCTATTTAGCTTGAGTAGAAGTTACTTCTTCTATATGAGAGACAATGTTGGGTAAAATGAACATGCTTGGCTTTTACTTTAAAAGGGTGGTGTGTCAAGGAGGCACAGGCTTTTCAAGTTCTTATTTGAGTATAAACCCAGCATTACACTCTGAGGATGATAATACTGAAAAATAATGACTGCGAATTGAACATTCTCTGAAGATCTTTTATATGCTTGACATTTCATATAATTGTCTGCATTTATTTTCCATGACCCTATATCACTTTATTATTAATATAACTTTTTTTTTAGTTTTTTGAAACAGGGTCTCCTCATGTAGTTTGTGAAGCCCATGAACTCACTATATAGCCCATAGTGGCATTGTATTCATGGCAATCCTCCTGCCTCAGCCTCACAAGTGCTAGGATTACTAGGGTTAGCCATGGCTGTAACTCGTTTAGATGAATGAGCCTATCTAACCTCATAATTTTTATTAACAAGAAATTCAATTCCAGGTAGTGATTTCCTATTATATTGAGTGCACCCCTTTAACTAATGGATTTCTAGGGCCTAATAATTTCAAAATTTCGCAAGCCTAATGTGACAAGCCTAATTTGAATCCACTGAATATTTACTCAACATCTACTTTTGATTATAATGTAGATAATGACAACAGCAATGATGGTGGAATGAGGATGTCCTGGTGTCTAAAACTACAGGCGTCCTCAAAAAAGGGAAGTATCAGTTTATAAAATGTCATATACCAGTAGACAGAAGAGCGCAGGCTGGTACTCAGGTTTATTTGACCCTAAGGTCATTTTTTTTTATCAGTTTGCCTTCTTAAATCCAAAAAATTTGAATTTTATCTTCCCTTTTACTGCCCAAACAATCTTTTACGGTGTCAGAAATTCAAAGTGCAAGGCTTAATTATATTGGTATCTCTGCCATTAATATCTTAAAAATGCATCTTCACATTAATTTACAGTCTGATTGTAAATCAAAGGTTGGGAGTGTAGTACATGTAGGTGTTCAGACAGGAGGTGATACCTCTTTTCATCTGAGTTGTAGGTAAACATGCCTTTTTAAGCTCCCTTCACCTGGGGTCTCTTGTACTTGTGGGCTGAGGTTGACGCAGACATCAAATGCCCTCCACCAACCAGAGGTAAGACAATGTAGAACCACCATCACCTAAATAAACAAACAAATAAATAAATACAGGCCACAGCATATCCCAGGCCCTTTGGGGAATTTGAGTAAGATGGGTAGAAGAGGGATAGGTAAGGTCTGTTAATATTATTTTGGCCCTAGTAATTTTGTGGGCTATTGCACTGGACTCCGAGGGAAGGTCAGTCCCTTCTGCTTTAACCTCAAGTTACCTATCAGACTCAGAGAAGGCACTTGCCTGCTCAAAGACTATAGAAAACTAGAGAAAGGCAACATACTCTGAGCTACAATGTAGATAGCTATTCTCATCTGGGTAAGACTGTCAGGGATACCTTGTTCATCAGCCTAAAGGCAGAAAGCCCAAATGTAGATCCATCCTGGACAAGAACGTGGCTTGGTTGAGGCCTTCTCATATTGCCTGAACTCCTCACCTCTGATAGCCAGGAAGTTGGATTTGTCCTGTCTGCTGCAAGTGGCACAGTGACCCTTGGAATCTGATCCCACTCCAGGTTAATTTCAGCCCTACCAGCATCCTTCAAGTGACCACAAACTTGAGAAGCAGTCTGGAGGCATTAAGAGTCCAAAACAACCATCATAAAGTGTGTGTGTGTGTGTGTGTGTGTGTGTGTGTGTGTGTGTGTCTGTGTGTGTCTGTGTGTGTCTGTGTGTGTGTGTGTGTGTTTGTGGAGAAAGAGAAGAGAATGAAATCAAAGGCACAGGTTTGGCTCACTGTTTGGTGAGATGATCAAAAGTAGGTGTGGGATTTGATACTTTTTATTCATAGGCAGAAAGAAAATTTCGTATTATATCCCCTTCCTTGGTACTTTTTTCTAATGAAATTTTTTTCTATAGAGATCCATCAATCTCTCGTTTCAGAACTTCATTATTTTAAAACAAATGTTTACATAGGCCTTCTATTTTTAAATTTTGATAAGCATTCAGCAATATTTCCATATAATTATTTCATGGCCCATGTGTATAATATTGGAAAGTATATTGTATACTCTGATAGTCTTCATTCTTCAATGTGCATTATAAACACTTGGAAAACGTCATTAGCTATGTTGTTTTTACTCCCAATTTCCAAAGTGTGGATCAGTGGGTCTTTTGTGGGTCCTCAAAATCTGTATTTTCAAGAGGCTCTCTGGCTAAATCTGAAGCAATAATACAATATATTGATATAAAACATTTAGGAATATAATCCATTTTCTGCCATACTTCTGTTTGTAATTACTTATCATAAATTTAGAGAAATCAATTCTTGAATAAGCTTATTTAATAAGAGAATGTGGACAAATCTACTGATTTTCATAATAATCTGGCTTCCTAGTAATAAATTAAAATCAACTAATTACTAAAACATGATGTGTCAAGCACCCACAAGTATGTGGGAATGTCTGGAGGAAAGGATAGTTTGTTTTACAGGGAAAATATAATACCAAACATTTATATAGAAACCATTCTACTCCAAGCACATTTATCATATTTTAGTGTCTTTGAAAGTTTTTATAGTTTTTCCCACATTTCAATAGGGGATGAATTAAGGAATGGGGGCTGTTCCTTAGATACATGGACACACCTATTTTAGTCCTACAATGCATTTTTACATGTTTCAGGAATGATACAATAAAGAACACAGAGCTGTTCCCCTTTGATCTGTTTCTTATATCACTTTGTCCAATTTATACATATGACCTAGAGTCCCCTGTACCAGTAAGGCAGTCCTGGCAGGGACATTCAGGATGAGATCATGTCTGAAGAGGTAAGATCTTTCTCCCTGAACTCAAGAACACCAACTCTTACATGCAACATGACAGCATTTACTCAGACCTGTATCCAGAATCAACTCCCAAATGAATTCACCACATATGACTCTTAGATATGCAGGATCCTGTGATTCAAAGCAGAAGGGATTTCTTCGCATTGTGCCAGGCACTGTATCCCCAACAACCCTAGGGCAGTCCCACCTGTGTTGTCATTTAAAAAAAAAGAGAGGCTTAAGGAAACAGTGGAAATTCAACTCCCCAGGGGATCTAGGAATCTCAGCAGGGTTTGGCCATTAAAACTTCCAGTGAACTAGCAAGAGGTAGAGGCCAGCAGAACAAAAGACCCTGCAGAAAAAGGAGCAGTGCCCAGTAAGTACAGATGGACCAAGGAGAAAAGGGTAGGGCTAGCCAACAGTGGACTAGCATGGTAACCCACACCTCTACCTCCTGCACTTGCCCCTGAGAACAGGCTGAGTTATGCCAGGACCCCTCTCAAATGACTAATGCTTCTAAAGCAGGCTAGAGGTCTATATGCACAGGTTCAACAAGGTGCTACCAAGCATGACTGAGTTCATAGTCGATCACTTCTGCCCTATAGCAGCCCTGTACGGCAAATATTTTCCCCAGGAAAAGACCAAGTCTTGAGCAAGTATGTCTTTCAGCATTGCCAGTTTTATTCCTCTAGCTAAGAGATCCAGAGGTAAATTGAGATTTACATGTCACATTTGTAATTATTCATCAAGAGTTTCAGTACCCCCACTGCCCTTAAGCTGGTTGCAAATTACCTTTTTGACTCTTATAAAAAAATTCTCAACTTTTTGTGTACATAAGTGTTCATTTAAAAAATACACATAAGCAAAGGTGAAACAAAAAAACTTTGCACCACAAGGAAATTTGCACATCTGTTTCTGATATATATATATATATATATATATATATATATATACTTTGTGCTTACACCCAATTTGGAATTGATATTAAATATGCTGTTTGGAACCTATCATGTTTCACTGTATAACACAGAATAAACATATTTACATGCATATGTGTAAAGCTTTCTAATTGAAAAACCAGGAAAATGGGGCAAAATTCAAAATCCAATGAGATGCTGGTAACAAGAAAACTACCTAAAATAAAATACCACCAGGTAATTAAAAGTAAATCAAAGGTCAAAATATATCAGAAAATGCTACCAGGAAGAAAGCAAGGGCCATATTTTAATATCACACGTAAAACAATTCAAGGCCTGAAGCACACAGGATAAGGACGGCTGCGTGAATGTCTTTGTTTCCAATGCATCATCACAAACTTGTTTCTTACTCTTCTTATCTCTTCCCTAAGCCTTTCCAACTCATCTGCTCCTCTTATCATTGCTTCAAGGTCCAAATGTCTAACAGGAATGTCCTCTTTAAATTCCTGGCCAGTTTGAGCTGGCCCTCCTCTGAGGTTTCCTTCCGCTTCCTGGCTTATACCTTCTTCAGAAGGCTGAAGATTTCCTTCTGCCTCCTGCGGTGCATCTTCCGAAGCACGGTGTTCCTCTGCCTCTGGCATATTCTCTGGTTTTCCTTCATTTTCTTCACCAGAGTTTTGCATGTTGAGCATTTTTAATTTTCTTTTCAAACAAATTAATCCTAGGAAACAAGAAAACAAAATTACTAGGTGCCAGACAAACAGACTAACAGCAGGAATCAGGTTCTGAACAGTCAAGCTTTTCAATTAGACAAGGCTAGATCCTCAAGCTCAGAACTCCCCTCACTCCACCTCCTTTTCCTCACCCCTCTCTCACTGTAGCTCCATCTTCTCTCCTCCAGCTCCAGCCCACCATTTTCCCAGCAGGCTCCGTTTTACAAGCCTCTCCCAGCACTGAAATGCGAGCAGCTTAGAAGCTATTAACTCTTGCCTCGCCAGGAGTCTCCAATGCTCCTGCACTTTCAGGCTTTCCCAAGCCATCCCAACTGAAGCCTTTTACCTGAGATGGTCCAGTCTTAGGCTTTCTCTCCCCTTTCCAAGTCTATTCGGCCTCCCCCTCCCCCACGCAGTTAAGCTGCGCCCAGCACAGGCCTCCGGTGCTTAATTCGAATGAGTAGAGGCGGCGGCGCCCCTGGGATATATGCTTTGGTGTCATCCACACTTCCGCCTCTCTTCCAAAGGAACCTGAGGCAACGGTACCCTTACACTGACCTGTAGGGATCCAGGGGATTTTCCTCCCTCTTCTCTCACCTCGATTTTTGTCGGGCCTAAAAGACCTAGAGTCCTGCAGACAGGTATGCTCGCTCGGTGAGCTCTCCGGTACCTGGATCAAAGGGTCCCTTTTACAATTATAGACCTTGTTGGTCTAAAGTATTTCAGTCTTTTTTACCTTCCACCTTTTACGCTAACCTCGCCCTTTGTGTCCACAGTTTGAGGCAGGTATTTTTTTCCAGATTGTCTCTTTCCCTTTCTTTCTCTCTCTGTCTCTGTCTCTTTCTCTGTCTCTGTCTCTCGCCCTCACCGCCCCCGTGTCTCTCTTCCTTCCCTCTCTCTCTCTTTCCCGCCAACGACAATTAGTTACCTTTCTCCTTCTCCACCCCACCCCCACCAAACAACCCCAAATTTCTTGCACAAAATGGAAGTTTGGCGGAACAGTAAGTAGTGTAGCGAAAACAGGACCGGCGCCGCTTGTTTTCTGCTGTCTGCCTCCTCCACCCTAGGGTCTCCAAATCACCGCCTACCTTTACAGGAGGACCTGAAAGGATCCAGGGCACTTTCCTTCTTCTTTAGCTGAACCGATCTGCCACAGGGAAACAGGCCTGGATTTCAGCACACGTCGACTCTTGGTCACGTGAGTGTTGCGTCATCAATGAGCTCGGGTCCTCTGCCCGCCCCCTACATTCCCTCCACTTGCGATAGTCAGTGTTTTTTTCGTATTTGTTAATCAGAGATAATAAAACTGGTAACTTCATCCTGGAGAATCTATTTGTCTTTCTCCAATTACCAACCAAAAGCAGACCTTTTAGGGTTAATAGACCATTTCACATTCTTTAGGAAATTACCTCTTTCTTTTGGCTCCCAATACCCTCACCTCCCCTCCCCCAAAACCCAAGGCCTAGCATTTCCTCTGCAGTACCATCCTGCATTAAAATGAGTGAAAGTGGTAGGTGGGGAGAGAGAGGAGGAGTGGAAAAAGGATCTCAGGATGAGAGTGGGATTTTACCAGCACTCTTGAATAGTTTTGTGTTTTAAAAAATTACTGTACGTTTCAAAATGATATTTTAAAAAGGATATCTCACAAACAATATTGAACACCTAATATATAGGGAAAATTAGTTAAATCAGTTTTTAATAACAGAAAAAGTTTCCTAATGGTAAAAATAAAATAACAGTATTTATAATGTACTGCTGTGTTACAATGTTAAAGTGTTACAAAAAGGCTTTTTAAAAAAAATCTAATCTATGGAAGGATACTTGTTTTTACCTTTTTATCAATTTTCTTATTCTTCCTTCCTGGTTGAACTCAAGTAACTGTATCTTAGATACTTCACTTTTCTTTTTCCCCTCCCAGCACGGGGGATCAAACCCAAGCCCTTGTGGTCAGCTACATTCCCCCCACATATTTTAAAATTTTAAGACAAGTGTCTGTAATTTGCCCAGATAGGACTCCAACTTGCAGTTCCTTTGACTCAGCACTGAAATTGCAGGTATGGGCCAGGATGCCTGGATATCATTTCATTGATGATGGCTGGTGGCTTCCATTTTTCACATGAGTGCTTCTCACAGACCTCCTTGCTGCACAAGCATCTGAAGGGCCCCAATGCCTTTGCCAATCAAATGACTCCACTGAAAAGCCTGGTTTCTACCTATTTGGAACTCAAATTGTTTTTTGTGAAGCATTTTGTTTTTCACAAATAAATGTTTGTAGGGAAATAACTCATGGTGAAACACTCAAACATAAAGTGTTCTTGTGTCTTGCCACTGAGTGTGAGATTTATCAAGCAGGTCTAATTTTCATTTATTCATTCATGGCATTCTGGATATTCAGATTTGTTTACTATGCTGTGTTAAAAATCCATTAGCATATGTAATTGCAATGATGAGAAAGCAGAGACAACATCCTTGCTGTAAGAAAGCAAGGATGTTAGTTTAAAAAAGAAACTGATCTCTGAACTCAGAATTCATCGGTACTTGAAGGTGCAGTGGTACCAATGGAGCCAAATGGAGAATCAAGAAGAGGAAGTGTAGCAGGGTCCCTGGTCTAGGGTGATCACAGCAGACTGCCTTAACCAACAATAGAACCCACTAAGGAGCAAAAAATGGATGTAAAAGTATTTTGTTAGCTTAATGCTTTATAATTTATGTTTAAACATGAAGTATTTATTGCACAAAGATACATTCCTATTATTTGAGTATTTGATGTAAATACAGCAAGAAATTATAAAGACAACACCAGCTACCACCAAACATTTTCACTCTTTCTGTTGTTACCCCTTAATGGGGAATCACTTCCTCCACATTGCTTCGTGTTACCCTTTTGTAGTCTTATATTATCTCCTTCCCCAAACTCTGTCAATTATTAATTTATGCCATTACTATAGCTTTGTCTATTTCAGAATGTATGTAAATTGTTTTATAGTTTGAAACATTTTGAGTCTGGCTTCTTTCACTCGGCATAATGCATTGGACATCCATTTAAGTTCTTGCATGCATCAGTAGTTCATCTTTCTCTCTTTACTGAATAGTATTCTGTTATTTGGATATTCCACAATGTATCCATTTACCTGCTAAAGGACATACACGTTATTCCCAGTGCTAAGCAACTATGAAGAAAGCTATTATAGACATTCATGTATAGGGTTAGGCCCTTATCATTTCATATCTGAACGACCTGCCTCCTGCATCTGCCTTTCTTCTTCCAAATTGATTTCATACATTGCCATCAAATTAAACTTCACACTCTGTTCTTTCAACTCTCAGTCTCCTGCCCAGAGGCCTTACAGGGTAAGCCCACTGCCCACACAGTAAATTGTACACTTTTCATCCTCACATTAAACATCCTTCAGAACTGAGCCCCTGCATACATGTTCCCAAACTATTCATACATTTCTTTGCCTCCTTCACTGTGTCACAAGCATTCCTAATTCATTCCTCTCATTGTTCTTACATGCAAGTCCTTTCTTGCCAACTTTCATCCTTCTTATCTTAGCTTCTGGTCAGCTGGAAGTAATCTTTCCCACTCCTGTTTCTGTGCACAAGAAGTCTGTATGTCCTGTGTAGTCCTTAGCTAATGTTACCTAGTGCTCTCCTCCTCCTCCTCCTCCTCCTCCTCCTCCTCCTTCTTTTCCATCTATCTCTTCCCTCTCTGTCCCTGATTGTGTATGTGTGTGTGCATGTTGGGGAACACTTAAACATGCAGATTCTCAGATATGGATTGCAGAAGGAAATTAGTAGCTTTTAACTCTCATGCATCTGTAGTGACTCTTAATGTTAACCAGTATGCTTCCCAGAAATGTCATTGTTGCAGAGCTTGCTGAGAGTAAGAATATAGTCCAGTGGGAGAACACTTGTGTAGTATGCTCAAGACCCAAGTTTGATTCCCAGATCCAAAAATCAAATAAATAAACAATAATAAAATTTTTCCAATTATCTTACCATGAATCTTTCTGCCAGCACAAAAATTGAAGTAGAAGTTTTACCATCGTCTTCTCCATTAATTTTGCCTATATGCAATTATAGGAAGCCTAATACAATTTTTAAGGTGCTACTTGCAGAATATATTAACCTTATTGTCCTACATACTCAGAAGAGACAGCAATAAGCTCACTAATGAACACCTGACAAAGAACCAGACAATGTAGACCTACTGCTTCACCTTTGTCCCTGGGCAATTTCAGTGCAACAGTGTAACACCAAGTTGCCTTTGAAACTAAGTTAGTCACAGTAGATTTTAAATGTAAAGTAAAATTTTTAAGATACTGTGCCAGCATTCTATTAGAGAAATTAAGTTTTTTTTTTTTTTAAATGAAGAAAAAGGTTCATACTCAGTTTTGACAGTGAAGCTATGAATTCTGGAAAGTAGACTCTCTGGATCTCTCAGCCAATCAATGTCCTGTTTTCATGCAACAAATAGACACTAAGAATAGTTTCAAAGTCCAGGGTTCTCCAAGTTATGTGAGGAGAGGAAGAAACAGGCTCCATTTTACCTTTCAGGAGTGCCCATATACTATTATACTAGAGTGAACAAAAAACTCTTATTTAAGGTTATGATACCCAGAAAAATGTTTTCTATATTCCTTTTTAAAAGATACTTCCATTGTCTTATATTCTGAGACTATATTTACAGCAGCTCCTCCTACATATTTTCTCATTGCTGTTATTAATTTTTTAAATTGACAATATTTTATATATATATATATATATATATATATATATGGAATACAATGTAATTTATTAATGCATTTCTACATTGTATACTAACCAATGCGATAGCACAATATTTGCATACATTCTATAATGAGCAAACCAGGGTAATTAGTGTATCTGTCATTTGAAATATTTATCATTCCTTTTGGTGAGAAAATTTAAAATCCATTCTTCTAGCTATTTTGAATTGTTCAATAAATTATTCTTAACAATAGTCACCATACTGTGCAATAGAATACCACAACTAATTCCTACTATCTAATTGTAACTGTACCCATTGACCAACCTCTCCTCATCCTTACTTCCACCTTCATTGCTGGTTTAAAAGTACATCCTGTAGGGACTGGGGATTTAGCTCAGTGGCATAAGAACCTGCCTTGCAAGCAGGCAGTCGTGAGTTCGATCCCTGGTATCAATAAAAAGAAAAAAGACAAAAAAAAAAAAAAAAAAAGGAAAAGTACATCCTGTAGAACTGGAGCTGAATAGAATTCTCCATCACTTCTCTAGCATATTCTGTACGACTCAAAAACATCTTACCCACCATAAAAAACTGCCCCAGATCCAAAGGTTTAGCATAGTATATCCTGAGGCATCTTCCATTTAGATGATTTGCCCCTTCAGAGTAGGAGATTCCGCATATTTTATTAATTTGCAAACTGTGGGTGGTTCACCTAGGTTTTGGTTCAGCTGGCACACACATAACCTAAGCTGATTTCTGTTAGTGTTTTCAGTGTGATAAAAGATCAAACAAAGTAAAAAGTAGCCTTTATTCTAAGGATGTGGAGAGGAGTCCATAGCCATAAGCTGTCTGGCTACTTCTTAGTGGAACATGGGGTTTGGGATATACATATAACCTCTGACCAGGGGTGGTACTTAGGGCAGGCATTGATGATGTGCAAGGAACTGATTGGAACTTTTTTCATATGTACTGGGAAAGGAAAAAGGAAGTTGTAATAGGGGAAGGAGGAAGTGGCCTCAAGGTAAACATCCCCTGATTCAGTCTCCCACTGCCAATTCTGTACTTTATTTTAGGGCAAAACTCTTTCAATCTCCCCTTTTGTGGTTTCTATTACAGAAACACAAGCTGTTATACCATTCCTATTATCCAATTCCCAGACATGCTATGTTCTGCAAGTTTAGAATGGATACATTTCACCAATTCTGCAAACTATTGAGAAAAATCATTGGCCACATCTAGATGAAATGAATTTAACTTGAAGCACTTTTTCTATAATCTTCATTATCTCTTCCATATAAATCTGTCATTGTTTGAACTCAGAGATGAATTCTGTACACACTGTTATTTATGGAAAAGAATTTACAGTTAACCAGAGCATAACGCTTCTGGATTACTGTGAACCTAAGGTTCTGTGTCATAACCACTATCATTTCAGTATTTCAAGCAAAATGTTTTGCTAAGACCTT